TCTATCATCTCCTCCTCTTCTCCAATTCTCCATAATTACAAGAGGAACTATTCTTGGTCCGTACCACCACTCCTGTTAAGGTTTGGTTGTGGTAGCGGTAGCGGGGATGCTTCATCAGCGGCTTTCTTAGACATCATCTGCATGTTCTGCTCATGATATATGTGCCTTAATCTCTCTATCTCCTTCCTCAATGCTTCTTGATGGGCTGTGTAAGTGCACACAGTAGCAAATTACTCTTAATCAACAATAAAAAGTTGACTAAAACGCTCTTACCAAAACCAAGAAAGGTAAAAACTACACTACTAGCAAAACCCTGTTGTATTGTGTCACCTATATATATGCATGTAGCCTAGATCTATCTTAGTGTGTAAAAAATATATGTGATGTCTTCACGTCAAAGTTAAGTCACTTAACTACTACATATATATGATGCATTATTCAATATTTTCCTCATTGGAATTTGAATTGAAAATGTGATTAATTGACTTGTTGTGTCAGTATAATAAGAGTAATATATGTTAATTAATGACGTTAAAAGTGCGAGGGATTTTTAACTTGGGTACATGCAAGTCCATCTAGCTTCTTTACTACATAGCATATATGGAACCTTCATCGATTATGAAAACTTTGTTGGGCTCGTAAAATAAGAAACTATCAGCTATCACATAGCAGAAAATGGGCAGTCAAATGGTAAATTTGAGCTCTTACCATCTTTGAAAATTTTATCTTGAGCTAGAGCAGCAATGCGTTGCTTAAGAGCACTATTATCAACATTAAGAATCAATCTCTGATGATCCAAGAATGCAACCCTTGGAGATAATGCCGATACTTCTGTCTGCATAACCCACCAGAAATACACAAGGAGACTCATTAAAGTCGACAAAAGTTAATCAATCAGTATAAGAAGATAAAAGAACTAATTTTGAAGCTTTATTGTAAAGATATATATATATACCTGCAGTGTTGTGACACTCCTTTCAAGCTCTGAAATGTATTGCAGCTTCCTTACTCTTGATCTCTGAGCTGATTGGCGGTTAGCAAGAATTCTGATCATTAGAAACGCAAACAAAAGCTACTTTAGTTAACAGTAAAAGAAAATCTGAAAATATACAGTCCATGCACGATAAAAATTACACCTTGACGTTGGATAAAGATGTATATACATAATTGTGAGATGACGTTTTGGTAGTTTTAAGACGAGGGCCGTCAAGAATTTACCTCTTTATTCTCTTCGGATCGACAATAGCATCTGCGGAAGGATTGGCTGGGGATTCCGTTTGTGTTTCTGTTTCCCGTTTGGTTGAGATGTCCACTTCACCTGGCTCATTTTTTGGCTGCAAATTTTGGTTTTCTTGAGCTGCTGCATTCTTCTCATCATTTTCGCTGTTTTGATCAGATGGGGTGGACGGATTAGTGCTGGCTGGATCGGATGATGACAAAGGCGGAAGCTCCTTGGTGGCAATATCGTCCGAGAACATGTTCCTGAGTTGCTCATCATCCAATCCATCAAAATTATGACCGTTGCATGTAACACTGATGTTTGTTGGATTATCAGCGTTTCTGCATTCTTCGACGAATGGAGCCTCCACGAAGGCAACGGAATCGCTCACGGACCTCCGGTGAGAGCTCCTCCGAGCGGACGAGAAGTCTAGGAATTCATCAACCCAAGAATTCTGCTGGGCAGTTGTTGGAGGAGGAGGCAATGGCATCATCTGGAAAGGGAAGGAAGGATACCAATTTTGTGTCATGGATGGAACTTTTGGCGGAAGCTGCGCCATGCATTAATGTGTAAAATTTGGCCAAACAAAAAAGAAAGAAAAGAATCGAATTACTACAATTAGGGACTGATTTGATGACACAAGATCTTGGGTAGAAATTCACGGATTGAGTCCTGAGAAAATTTAGGAAGGGGTGGTGAACGGTATATATATGGGTTGGGAATTGGGATTGGATTTGGAACGAAGGGGGAGGTCAAAAAGTGGTGCAATAATAGGACATTTTGCAATGGTTCTGGTTTTTTGTAGGTAACGTTGGTTAACTGTTGGTGGTGGTACTAATTTGAAGGCCCAGAGATTTTGGAGGGGGGGGGGGGGGAAGGAGGGGGATGGGATGGGTAGGGAAGGAGGAGACGGGGGAAAGCACATGGGATGGTGGGATTGGGACAGCTAGCTACAGCTATTTGGGAGGGATTTCACACGAAAGTCGCAGTGGTAAGTTTAATAACTGGAGGAGGAATCAGCCACCACGTGCCAATGTGACCCATGGGCTATGACCCTCAGCTCTATTAAAATTATTACTAGCATGCAAATTCAAGATCACATATGATAGGGGAGAGGATCATTCATATAGGAGTTTTTATTTCTTGGGCGGTTCCAACGCATCATCCCTTAGCCTCTCAATAATTAGATGATAAATACATGCAATACTACATCATCTTAATCAATGAAGACATCTGTTAGACACAGATCCATTCATAACTGTAATATTAGCCTTTGAATATGTGACGAAGGTATTTTTTTTAACGAGTAAATCTTATATACACCGACAGTGTATACACTTTCATCATTTGGATTATGTGTCATGCATTCAATGGTGAAAGTGTATACACTGTCAGTATATTAGATGATTAATCCTTTTTTTATTAAGTTACTATTCATTGATTAGGAAAGATGACTTTTGAGCTCTAGAAATTCGATTGAATATGTTTAGATTGGATTATGATCGAAGTTATTACGGTGTACATTTTGTTATTATATATAAAAATGTGGATTACGTGTATCCACTTCAATCTTTTGTTCTCCTCCTTGATCAAATGTCAAACTAACGGCCTGTTTGGCAAGCAAGTTTTTTGTCAAGTTTGTCTGCTACAAGTTTTTTAACAACTTTAGTTACAGTAATTTCAAAAACTTTCTCAAAATTTTTAAACTATACACTTCAAAACATCCAAAAATTTACACACTTTAAAATTTTTTCTTACAACTTCTACCGTAAATTACAGTAAAGTTTTAGACAAACACTCAAAAAACTCATTTGCCAAACGGGGCCCAAGTCATACAACTTGGTTTAAATGCCTTCTCACCTTTTTTTTGCACTAATATCTTTGATGATGACTATTACTGGCAAATTTCGCTTTAGAATAACTGAACGTGAAAAAAAAAAAAAATTCTGCAAAGTTCTTGTAGCTGCCTACAACTATACAATTGAATGGGGTCGTGCAGGAGCCATCCATGAGAAGGCCGGAGGAGGCAGTCGGATAAAAATAATGGACGGTGGAAGAGTGGGAGCATAATAGCAATCTAGAGGAGGATGAGCTGTGAAAGAAAAGGAAGGGTGTGAGCGAGCACAATGTCTTCCTCCCCCATGTGAACTCTTTTTAAGAACCCCAAAAACAACACCTTTCTTCGCTTTGTCCCCAAATCAGACTCACATGGAGGGCATAGGTCCCATTTGCTTCTCTCTCTCTCTTCCTTGATAAGGTTCTTGGTAGCCTCCATCAAGCCATTAATTAATTAATGGTGATTTTTTTTCTTAATCAAGTACACTTTGAAGAATTATAATGATTAGCGAAAAAGTTCTGAGAGAGCTTAAGTACTTCTAAGTACCGCAGTCTTGCAATCATTATTCTGCTTCAGTCCCTCTGGTTTTGATTTTTTATGTTCCTCATAGATTTACCAAATTGCATTAATGGAAACAAGGCCTCAAATATCATTGGGTAATGCCGTAATGGGCATTCCAATGCTATTGTAACTTATTAGGACGTTTAAGGGTAATACCAACCGGACCACATATCATGTCATTGTTCCTCCGGTAATATGTGGATGCCAATCCGAAGGGTTATTAAACATGTGAATGCATTGACACAATCACAATCAAGGCACCACCCAATATTAGCAACAAAGAATCAAAGATTCTTACCCAAAAATCAGCTAATGTCACTCTCCATAATTGTCTTTTATCTTAATTTTGGGATCCCAAAAAATTCCAAGGTTCCGTACAGGAAATAAAGGAGATTGTAGGACTGACTTTTCTTAATATGAGAAGAACTATTGCACGTGGGAGGGAGGAGCCACGAAAGACCCTACCTGTTTTGCTTTCAAAAACCCACAATGCAAATGCCCAGCAAAGGGGACTAGAAGTCTACAACTTACACATTACGATTAAATACTACTAGTTTGTGGTGGAGGACACCAGGGTCCTCATCCCTCGGTGTTCTGTCAACTTGCTTTACCATATTTCTTCATCTTCATTTCCTGATGTTTCCCGTAAGTGTAGCAATCTGAAGAAGACCTTATCTAATGGTTGAAATTGAAATTCCAAAACTTCCAAGTATTGAGTTTTAACTCCCCTTCTTTCTTATCGCTTCTTAAATTCCACCCCTCCACTGCTATCAAGGAGAAAATTTTACAATGCTGGCATAAGGAACTGAACGGTCTTGATAAAGGATGACTACGTAGATTGCAAGTCTCAATCCCTCACTTTCCAATCCAAAGCACCTGCCTTGATTCACCATCTGAACTACAAAAATTCCTGCAACCGCTTTGGGGCATCAACCCTGGTTCAGCTGCCAGATTCCACACGAAACATCTTTTGATTACAACTTTGCAGCTATGTATTGCTTCTGTAGCCAATGTTTTCCCTTGCTTCTTTAAAGCCTTCCTCGAGAATAAGAAAAATGTAGCTCACAACTACTTAAAGCCACTTACACCCAGTCCGGGTTTCAGCTATAAATGGCCTAAAACATGAAACGTGCTTGTCCCACGTCAATCACGTAATTGACAAACCAATATCACACACTGATTGAAAAAGGAGAAAAAAGGTAGTCACAGGAAAAAATTACAAAAAAAAAAAAAAAAACCGCCAAACTCATCTGACGTCAAAGTGGATATTTCTTTACCGACATCAGTGTGTTGACAAATTCCAGTAGAACCGAAGACAATTAAACCACTATTGACAACTGACTATGAATCTATTATCGCATACAGCATTTCAACAAATTTGGAAATGAAAATCACTGTGCAGCAGATAGTAGTATTGAATCAGAAATAGACAGAAAAACAGCCAGGGGAAAAAAATATGGTCAATCTCTAAGCACTAAAAAACAACATTTAATCTGTAGGATTTCTGCGTCAATCAGGAGATACAGATGAATTTGTAGGGTATTTGCAAGTGTGGGAAGGGAGGGAGAACAAGAAGGACTTGTCAGAATGGATCAGCTATAACTAAATGCAAGTTAGCTTAAACCTACAATGATATGATAAAAAACAGCCCAGATCCTACTGAGAAAAATGGTATTATGTTCTTTGATAGGTGATAAATCTTACAAAAGGAAGGCTTCTTTAGCGAAGACCCCTTCCTCTGCCACGTCCCTGCCAACCTCTGTTTCTTCCACCTCTGCCACCACTAGACAAACCTTCAAATGCCTTGTTTAGAAGTTGGTTCTGAAAGCCACCAGCTCCTCGACCCTTTTTCATTGAACTAGTGTTGACTCCATTAACAGCAGCAGCAGTTCGCTTTTGACTGCCAGTACCAAGTTGAATTCACCACAAGATGAAGAGAGAATTAGCTTCAGCATAATCAACAATGGTAATGCAATAGCCACAGTTCCAAGCAGAATAGTGCGTTATCTCTTACCCAGCAGCAGCAGCAGCAGTTGGTAAAACTGATGGTTTAGCTAATTCCTTCCATGACAAGTTGATTTTCTGATCCCCAATAAAGGAAGGTGATTTGGAATGCAGGGGCTAGAGAGTTGAAAAAATTAGCTCCAAAGAACACAATAATTCACAAAAGAAATTGCAGACAAAGGAATTGCATTCACCTGAGCCATTGACAATATGTTATTGCAACTTTTGAGCCCAGAGGTAGCACTCTGCTTTTGTGTCTTCTGCAGGTAATGGTCAAGCAGATGAATTGATGTAAGTCAGAATTTAGAGAGTATATGAACCACCAGTAAGTTAAAAAAGCAGTGACGGTGGCAGTAATATTTTTAAAGGAAAGAATGAGGAGCAGACATGAACTCACAATATCATCTTTTTCTTCCTCTGTTTTAGCAGCTTTCATTGCTTTGTTTTGATCATCCATCCCTTGAGTTAACTTCTTTATCATGGATCTGGTTAAATCTTCAATGGTGCTCAATCTGTCTCATCATCAACTCTAGACATGTCAATCTCATGCTTTTTACGAAAATACATAAATAAACCACAAACATTTAGTATAGTGTTTGTCGCTTTCATACTTAAAATAAATTGTGATGATAATGATTTATTGACAATTATAACAAGCAAAGACGACCAATTTTTGCATACCATATGGAGACCCAAATATGATAAAAATTAATGAAGCCTAAATTACCCATTCAGATGCCATGCAGTAAGTGTCAGATAAATTAAGAGCATGAAATTGACTTCCAAGCAAGACCCCCATCAACTGACCAAATATGTAAAAAGCATCATACCCACATGTTCCCACCTAATTCCGCAGAGGATTGAGGAAGTGGGAAGGGGAATTGAGGGATAAAGGAGACAACCTACACAGAGTGCTATAAGCTAAAAAAACTCTCAATCTTTTGAAATTCTCCATAGGAACTCTAATATAATTCCAATATACTTCTCTTCTAACAGTCTAACAGCCAAAACTTTTCATATTTAGATGAACAACAGCAACAGAACAATATATGGCTATAACCATACAGCACCTTTCTGTGAAGTCTTTAAACTGCTCTGAAAAATCTTCCCCAAGTCTATCAGATGGCTGTCCAGTGACTATCTTGTAGCCACAAAGACTGTTGGTGGCATTAGGAGTCTACAGAAACCAAAGTAATATCATAATAAGTTTAACTACAATTTACTATTAAAGCGAAAAAAAAAAAAAAAGGCATTACGCAAAAACAAAATTTATCTTACCTTGTGAGCTAAATGGTGAAAAGCATACAACAGGCACTCAATACATGTGAAATTCATCTCTTCAATCTTCCTCCGAACCATGTATTTCTAAGAGGGAAAACCGTAGGGGTGGAGTCAATATATGTATACAAAAATCTATGAGTAATGGTTGGTTCAAAAGGTCCAGTTATTCATTTTTAATCTCTCAAAACATATTACATATTGGGTCTGTGTTAGTAAGCTTTAGCTTTTGTAAAGTGCCTTATAAACAGGTTCATGAAAGATAGCTATTTATATATTTCAAATGGTATTTTGTCTCAAAGAAAATTAACAAGAGGGCATTGTTATGAAAAAGCACATTTCATTTATATAAACATTTTTCAAAAAGTGCTTGTCGTGAGAACAAGTAACAGCAAAGCAATGCTTTGATACTTCACTGATGAAATTAACCTAATCAATGACAATTACAAGAGGGGTTCTCATCCAAAAGAGTACCTTAAGAAGTTGAACAACTGATGGAAGAAATTGACGAGAATCTTGTGGTGTCGCATAAAGTGAGCATTCGGCCAAGGTCTTGAGCAGGTCCAGCGTCCATTTTTCTGGAAGCTGACAGGAATACAATTGTTTAGTTGCACTGATAGCTTCAAACTCATAATAATGAAACAGAGAAAAAGAGAGCACAAAGCACAATTAAATCATTCTCAAAATTCATTGTGAATGCTGCTACGGTCCTTATCCAAAACTTTCATAAACAAGTAGATGGCAAGAAAAAATAAAAAATAAAAAGCAGGCTGTCTCGTTTCTATTGATGTGATTGTGATGTGATGAGGAATGAATAGCCAGAATCAAGGAAAACAACAAAACATACAAACCACACAGAGAGAGATAAATGAGTATACAGATGCAAAAGATGCTCTGACAAATACAAGAAGAAAGTTGAAGGGAGAGAAAGAGTGCCCTCCAGACATTCTAGACACCAAAGGCGGAGAATGACATGTTATAAGCTGCTCATTCAAAGCCAAAAAAAAGATAAGTCTGTGCCATTGTATCATACTGCTTACCTTGTCAAAAATAGGTACAATTTGTTTGCTCAGATAATTAATGAACTTGCTGCTTGATGCACCCCTCTATTATAAAAAGTAAGATTAACACGATTTGTACTCAGAATATGATAAAGTGGAATGCATATAGAATAGAGGCATGGTACATACAACGAATAAAGGAAGGGCCATACGAAGGCAAGATATGAATCGTTCTATATGATCAACATCTGAGACCTGAGAGATAGAGAGAGTAGGGAGGACAAAAGGAAGAAACATGTCAGATTTGGACCTAAATAAAATTCAAGGCAAAAGCTTACAAACACAAATAAGACATATTTCACTCAAAGGGGTGAATATGAAAGAGGACATTAAGTAGTGCGATCGTCAGACAATCAAAATGAAAGCAAAATCCCAAGGGTAAAAAATCAAACATGCAGTGTGAGGCCATGACAAATCAAATTTATAGCTTCAGTACCAATACAAACAATTACCTTTAATTTATACTTGCAGCAAAGTAGATATCTTTTGCATTAAAAAAGTAAAAACTTCAAAAATAGAAAATTAATGGAATTAAAAAAAAAACTAAAAGAACAGCACAACTTTAAGCAAAAATTATTGCAATATAAACACATGAAACCACATGAAAGATAGACCACATCCAAAATTACATAATGCAAAAACAAAAGATAATAGAGCATGGACCTGAAACAATCAATTCAAAACTAAAAATAAGCACTTACGTCAAATATAGCATCTAGATCAGCTTGACCCTCGATGATCTCAACCAATTCTTGAACATGTTCAGCCGAAGCATTCTGTCCAAATAAGCTCAAGCTCTTCAAAAAGTCCACGAACATTTTAAACTCACCTGCCGTCACATCTTGCAAGTTCTGCAAAGAAATAACATAGTTTCAAGGTCAACATAAATATCCAGTCAAGTTTACAACACCTACAGGAAACACAATCAATTTCCTTGATGAAAATAACTAACATTTGGGGAATACTAGGACTAACAAATGTTGAATACCTGTTTCACCAAATTAACTATATGCCTCTCCATTTCTTCCTGTGGTTTTAACAACTCAGCCTTGAGGGGAAATACCTGGTACATAAATTTGATGTCTCATTCAGTTTTGAAGAACATTTTTAAAAAAAATTCATAATATCAGATACTTGGGATATGGGAAATTACAAAAATATCACCTTTTCTTTGATAAAGCCAAGAACCTTTTCGCGAACATTCTCCCATGTGCTAGGCTCCTCAGCACCCCGTTCTTCAGTGCTTCCAACATGCTTAAACAAAGCTGTCAAGGATGCTGCAGCAAATCATTTGCTTAGATATAAATTAGCCATCAAAGCAGAACTAAAATTCATTACAGTACCAACAATGAGGGCTATAAAAGGCACAAAAGAGTAAGATATGAAGTCCCCAATTTTGTCTGACTGAAAACAAGCACTAAACTTCAACATTTCACTCTTTTATCTCATCTTGGCACTAGGTTGAGTACAGCAAAAATCTTCATGAATGCAAAAACGTGCAGATGGTATGAAGGATGTGAAAACAATTTTAGGAAACACAAATGCAAGCTTCACAATTTTAGATGCCTTTGCAGTCCAAGAACTTTATACAAACTTGGCCCAAACTCCATGAAACAAAGAGCTTCGTACAAGTTGCGGTCTCCAGTAGCAATAGCATTATTATGAGAAGTCATATTGCAAACTCCGAATCAAAGCATTAAACAAGTAGCTCAGCTTACAATTATCCAACATAAAGGGTAACAAATAATGTTCATCCATATTGACTGATTTCCAATAAAGAAAGGCCAGCTCAAATGAAACTCAAAATGTTGAGAAGCTTCTTGCAAAATAGAAATGGTTAAGTCTAACTTCACCCACGACCCCACACTACTGTTTTTTGGGAGTACAGAGTCACCTGCCTAGACTTAAAGGAAAAAGGAATAATCCGTGAAAAGCTTGACCAACATTATATAAAACAGAAAGACATGGTAAATGATCTAAGCTATAAAAACCAACTCAAGGACAATGTATGTCATGAAGAAGTCAATCATGTTATTTAACATGGGATTTTTCCACGTCAACAGGCAGCTTGACATAACTTAAAGATTGAAACTACATAAGCAAGGAAAAGACTATAAAGGACAGCAAGCATTCCCCCAACTGAATTTACAGCCCCAGTTTGATGTGAGAACCTTAGCATGAGACCTGATACAGTATCAAAACAAAGTAAAGAGAACGTGCGCCATAAGAGAACCAGAAGAACTGAATGAACTATCATTATTATCCTTTAAATTCTAACGGTTGTGCACTTGAAAATGTCTTTCTTTTAACAAGTAAGGAACAAGTAAAATACTAACAGCAATAATAAATTCCAGTGAGTAGTACATGGTAATTATAATGCCTTGAAACAAGAAGCATGATAACAAACAAGAAAATTATAAAAATAAACTTCACAGCTGAATTCTTACTTCTTGTATCCTGCCGCAACAAAGACATCAGAGCTTTGTTTACTGCATCACGCTCCACAATTTCTCCTACGGAACATATTGAAGATGCTTTTATGAGTAACCAGGACATCCATTAACATAAAGAGCTTTGCAAAGACACTTACCGGTCACTAGAAGCTGAGCAAGAATGTCAACAATTTTAGACAGATGTTCAGGTGTATCTTTGCAAAAAAGAGGTAGCCCACGGATTGCTTGAACTCGCACCTATGAAACAAAAAAGTCATAAACGCAATGTTCATAGTCACGTAATCTTTAAGATAATCTTCTCAAAGAAGTAATACATGTCATACAAGGAAAATCAGTAGCACAACATTATTCTACATAAACTCCTGCATGAGATTTTACACTTAACTAGTGAAATGCCAAAGTTCACCAAAATAAATGCCAGTCAGCATGTAATCTTGAACTGAACTGCACCAGATGAACTTGTAACATGATATACCCATTATCTCATTCTAGTGGCAAAATTGTAGAATTTCTGCCATTTTCTCAGTAATGCTTTTTTCCCCCAAAAAAAGGCAAGAAATGATATCTTTGCCTTCTCCCTCCACCTTTCCACGGAAATCAAATTTAGAGAACTACTACCTCTATATTGCTTTCCTTTCCCGGCTTCTTGTTCTACATACAACTCAGAACTCTCTTTAATTGGTAGTAGTATTCAATGCAAAGTCCATTAGCTGTTTCCGCCCAAAGACAAGAAGAGCTGACTAAAACGTCTAGCCAAAGAGATACGACCCCCCCCCCCCAACCCCACAAAAAAAAAATTGCAAACAGGAAAATAAAAGTATTTTATTTACATTTGCACTCTCGTCCATATCTATCTTTAGCTCCTATAGGTAAACACGAGTAATCCGTGCAACTTTCCTTAAAAAAAATTTCATTTGACGTTTTAATTAGTTCCCTTAGCACCTCAGCTCTTCTAAGCTTTTGAACTTAAATTCAAATTTTCAAGGAATTTAATCCGTGTAAATTCGAGTGGCTAAGAAATCTCCTCAGGTGGCAAAATACAACGAAAATCACCCAAATTTTCCACCAACAGCTAAAAGTTAAACAACTAACCCCTAGCTCATCATCTTCGCAGAGATACAAATACTGATCGAGTGCTTGCTCGGAAATCTGAGGAAAATACTTGAAGAACTTCGGTATTAGCATCGCCGCCAATTGCCTCGCCTTCACTAAGCCGTTCGCTGCCGCGAGAATGCACTCATAGTCCTCCTTATGCTGTTTTTCCCAAAAAAAAAAAACCAAAATCAAATTTTTTTCCGCACAAACGAAAAAAAGAAAACCTAGTGAAACAAAACAGGATGAAATTGAAAGCGCTGAAGTTGGGAACGAACTTGAGACTTGTCTTTCGCCTCGCTGAGCCGATGGTCGTACCCGTAGAGCTTCCCTATATCGATGGAATCATCAGTAGCCTTGGCCATTGATGATTATTACAACCAGAAAATGAAATTCAAGTTTTTTTTCCTTTTTTCCTGGTCTGTAGTGTAGGGTTTTGTGAAGGGGGTTTGGATGGGATGGAGAGGGAAGAGGGGATTTTTGAAGGCTGGGATAGGAGGGGAAGGGTTACAACATACAAGGAAGCTTTTGAGGCATGTCGACAATTGAGACAAAGTAAAGGGGCCTAGTTGTGAATTGCAATGCCGGCAGCAATGTGAGCTATTCCATTTTGTTTTCCCTTTCACCTTTTCCTTTTTTTTCTTTTATTAGAGTCTTTTCTGTCTGTCACATAGACCACCCCTAATTTGTCGTAGTCTATTTCATAATCAATAGTACTAATACATTTTTTTTTTGCGTGCATAAAATAGTTTTTTGCAAAGCTTTTTTCTATTTTTTTAATTACCCTTGCCAAAATTTTGGATGAAATTGCTTATCCAAAGCCTAGGTTTACATTGAATTCACCATCATTCATTCCTTAGTCTGAGATAGAAGAAGAGGCACAATTAACAGCTTCTCAACATTTTAGGTAACTAACTAACTGTAATAGTTCCTTAATTGAATGTGAATGTCTAGACTTCACAAGGCCACTTGGGCTCCACGCATTTAAACGATTAAAATGGTAGTGGATTTTTAGTTTTGTTAACGGGCTCCAAATATATCTAAAATTACCCTCTTTGTATTTATATACTCTCTCTATTTAATTTTACCTTTCCTCTCTTATATTTATTTACTTTTTCTAATTCATTTTATATTTTCAAAAATATATTTTAACAAGTGCTCAATAGGCACTCGTTAGACAAAGTCTTGAATTTTTTATGACCTTATGCACCCATTGGACAGGCTCTTGGATTTTTTATGACCTTGTGCAGATGTTTCAAACACTAGTAGGATTTTTAAGCATTAAATGTTAATGCATAGCCGCTTCCAAGTGTTTTTTTTTTTTTTTTTTTGAAAACGTAATCTTAATTTGGTAAAATTCTAAAAAAAGGTACATTAAATATCAATGCTTACATTCAAACAAAGAGGGGTGACCTGAGAGCCAAATAGAAAATTTGGTTACGTAATTAAATGCATTTTATAATCAACTTTTTCATTTTATTCGATCACTTTTTTTTTAATTTCACATACATTATTATGTTACAAAAGATGCTACGATATTATTCTTAAAAAATTTATTCAAATAATTTTATATCCAAGAACACAAAATAAATGGTAAAATTGTATCTAGTACCTTTGGTAAGTCTTTTTCTCTTACAGGCAGCATGCTTTGTCCTCTTTGCTTGCAGAAAAAGATTCATATAAGCATTAAAGAAACCACCGATAGAACCGCGAATCTAAAAAAAGAAACCACTGATAGAACCGCGAATTTAAACAATCAATACGTCTTAATCCCCTTGATCTAGAGTCATAGATCACGTCTTGTGTTCCTAACAAATTCCGCGTCTTTTATCATCCACAACACAAAGGCCTACCTTACACCCGTATAATGTCTCTAACTTTCTGCCCGCTATGGCATGTTTTTCATTCAAAGATTGCCATCATCTACTTCAGTTACAAACACTTCAACGTGTAATACTTCTATTATTAAACATAACCTAAACTATCTAACGATGAATAGCCAGATATGCATTTGCCTAACATAATAAGCCACATTTGATAAAAACAAATTTTTCATGAGTTTCGAATAAACACTCGTTAATATGGCTAAATTATTATTTGAAGACACATAATCATAATTATCCGTTTAGATTAGTTGTTTTTTGGGGTGTTTTTGAAAAATTTTACTATAGTAGTGTATATTAAAAAATTTTACTATAAAAATTTTTTGAAAATTTTGATATATTGTATGAATGAGATATTTTTTGAGTTATTATGTATTACTGTAACATTGTATTTGAAAAACTTGTTTTTGAAAAAACAGCAAATCTAAACGGATTACTTTTTTCTAAACTAACTGTACTCTTTCGAACAAAAAATAACACCTGATACCATCATGCCCAATCCATTGGCCAAACCATTATTAAAATGTTTGGCTAACAAGTGCTTTTAAAACACACGTCATATAATTTCGAGTGTTTTTTTTTTATAAGAGCGAAACTAATTCAATAAAACATTAATGTAAGAGAAGACAATAAACATGCTATATGCATTGAAATGATTAATTAAATGGTATTTAAGTGTATGAGTGCCCAGAACACTCAAATAAAAAAAATGCAATAGTTAAATTTCAAACAACTACCTCAGAGTCCCTGAAAAAAAAAAAAAAAAACTACTACCCCTGAGTTATTGCAACTTCTCTAGCCTTTCATAGGTGTATAAACATAAACTATTAATTTGCACACAAGTACTAAATTATTTTTCTTCCATTTCTAAAAACAAATTAACAAGAGTATAAATTTTAGTGAATTTGTAATCATGCTCTTATTCATAATTTATCCCATTCACCAATTCGCAATCTATAAATTTCATTAACTACGAGCATGTGCAGAATAAGTACCCAAAGTCAAACAAGGAAAAGAGGGTAATAGAATAAGGACCATATCGGTAAAATTCTACTATGTTAAGAGGGATAATATCAGAAACCTCCCCTGAGGTTTCTTGAAATATCACTAAGCTCCCCCCATATTTTGGAAATCTCTCTTACCACCCCTCAAGTGATTGTGGGGTCATAAGTCACTAGTTGACTTCATCAGTTGCCAATAATACCCTTGTTTCTCCTGTTACCTTATAAAAGGGAAAAAAATTTAAAGTAAAGAAATTAAAACAATTAAATATTTTACTCTTAAAGCTTTTTGTGGACATTTTACTCTCAAACATTCAATTTATAATAAATATATAAATGTTTTTAAGTAAAATTTAAAAAGTGTTACAGTAATTTCTTACAAAAAAAAACTAGTAGGTTATCTAATTAACATAAATTAAATATTTTTTAAAAAATAAATATCCTATAAAGTACCAACTCTTTATGGCTTTTCTCTATTACATGAACCAAGTACCAGGTTTTTATGAGCATTTTATTTTGAATCATTTAATTTATGTTAAATACATAAATATTTGCAAATAAAATTCAAAAGCCATTACACAAATATTTTTACAGAAATAGCAGTAACCTCCCTTAAATATAAATGAAGTATTTGAAAGTAAAAAAAAATTGTCCATAACATACTAGTTCTTTACAAGTTTCTTCCATTATATGAATAAAGTACTAGTTATTTATGAGTATTTTACTTTGAATCATTTAATTTATATTAAATACATAAATGTTTATAAGTGAAATTCAAAAAGTTTTACACTAATATTATTACGAAAGGGAAACTAGAAGGTTTTGTATTTAACATAAATTAAATATGTGAAAGTAAAAAAAGAAATTACCCACTTTTTACTAGTTTTTTACGGGTTTCTTCTATTATATGAATAAAGTACTAGTTATTTATAAGAATTTTACTCGGAATCATATAATTTATGTTAAATACATAAATGTTTGTAAGTAAAATTTAAAAAGTGATATACTACTATTTTTACGAAAGGAAGACTAGTAGGTTTTGTATTTAACATAAATTAAATACGTGAAGGTAAAAAAAAAAGAAAAGAAATTGCCCATAACATATCAACTCTTTATGGGTTTCCTCTATTATACGAACAAAGTAATAGCTATTTATAACCATTTTATTATGAATCATTTAATTTATATTAAATATACAAATGGTTGTAAGTAAAATTCAAAAAGTATTACACTCAAATTTTTACGAAAGCGAAACTGGTAGGTTTTGTATTTAACATAAATTAATTATGTGAAAGTAATACTCGCAGGTAATTTAATTAGTTTAATTAGTGACTTAATTAAATGCATCTATTTCATAAACCCTAAAGGACGAGTTTAATTAGTTTAATTGTGTGAGTGTCCTAATTAAAGGATGAATTAGCCATTTCTATGTCCAGTTACCTCTCCATCTGCGCAGCTATTTCAAGCAGTAGTTTCACCTTTTAAAGGAGAAACTAGAAGCACTCAACGAAGCCATTGCATGTCCAATGGTCATGCAACAGTGCTCATGCCAGAAAAATACTCTCCAATTCACATTTTTCACCTACTGCAACTTTCTTATATCACTGTATCAGTCAACCTAAGGGTATGAAGGGAACTAAAATACTCTCCCTCCTCCAAAATGCATTTTCTATTGTTACTTTTGCTTAGAGGGGCTGACATTGTTAAGAAAATGTCAATTCAAAGGGTGGTAAGAGAGATTTTCAAAATATGGGGGGAGCTTAGTGATATTTCAAGAAACCTCAGGGGAGGTTTCTGATATTATCCCATGTTAAGAATAAGATAGGTTATTTTTAAAAGATATAGGAGCTAAAGTAAAATTTTGAGGATATATAGGGACTTTTCAACAATACATTACGCCCCAATAAAAGCCCAAGTTTTCTCAGGGGTTCTGGCGGGCCGTCTAAACGGGGTGCAAGCTCTGCCTCGCTGCCGCTGCTGCTGCAGCTGCTACCGCCCTCCCCCCGTTTTCTTATATATGTTGAAGTGGTTCAGCACGCAGCAGTTGATTAGCAAACATGTCAGAAAAACCAACTAAAAAACCGCCAAAGAAGATCAGGAAGGGCGCCAAAAATCATAACCCAAGGCGTAGTATAAAGCCGTGGGATCACGACGATGATATTCCCTCCATGAAATCCAAGAACCTCAGGGGCATTAAGGGAGCTATACGGGCTGTTACGAACCCCAGTTACTGTTTAGAGATGGGCATTGGGAATTTAAACCGGGATGGTGAAAGTCTTCGGTACCATCACCGGAAAAAACTCTGGTTGCTTCTGAAGAAGTTAATGAGAATGCAGAATTGGGCCGAGGCCAGTGGTGTTTTAAGTGTTTTGCTTAGAGGGACTGCTAGAGAAAAATCAATTTCGAGAAATCGAATAAAATATTTTGTACGAATTCACTACTTGAGCTCTCTCTCTCTCTCTCTCTCTCTCGCGTCAATTGTAGGCAGATTTTAAAGTTTCTTTTGTAAATGTTTAGTCATGTTGAATATACCGAAATAGTTCTGGTGCTTAGTGATGATGTTTTTGAGGCATTAATGAGGAAATAAGAGAAGCTTTATATGTCAGATAATGTTACATTGGA